CACCATATCAGCACCCCGGAGGAACACCCCCCGCGCGATGAAACCCGAGACGAACGTCCCGCCACAACATCGGAGCACTACTGGCGGTTGTTCAACGACCCGGGTTTGTCGCCACCCGACGGTGCCCCCGCCGGCCCGCCATCTGTATCGCCCGAAGCCTTTCACGACCTCGCTCATCAAGTCCGAGCTTTGACGGGCGTGATCCAAACCATCATTCCGCTCGTCTCCCATCCGACGCCCCTACACATGACCCAACCCCTACAACAGCGGGAGCCCGCCGCCCGGATTCACGCACCACTTCCCGAGCTCCCCACTTCGCCCCGAAACCAGTCAGCCCGACCCGGGAACCAAGGAACGACGGAACCAACGACTCGCCCGGTGCCCGAGGCGCTGTCTGTGGATTCAACAGACGCCCTGCGAGTCCAGTTGCGCCTTGTTAGCCAACGACTCGACGAAATACAACAGGAGGTTTGCAGGACAAAGGGAGAGCTCGGGGCGGACGGACACCAAGGGTCCCCGTTCGCGCCCGAAATACAAGATCAGGCGATCCCATCGCACTTCCGACTCCCCTCGTTGGACGCCTATGACGACGCCACTGACCCAGCGGACCATGTAGCCGCTTTTCGCGCTCAGATGGCGCTGTATGGGACTTCTGACGCCTTGATGTGCAGGGTGTTCCCGACGACTTTGAGGGGACCGGCCCGCGCCTGGTACAGCATCCTAAAGACCAGTGATTGCAAAAGGCGCTCGGGTGCTCGCCTAGGCGCTCGGGCGAGGCGAGGCGAGGCCCGAGCGCCTCGTTAATGTCCCAGGCGGCGCGCTTCAAACAGGCGCCGCCTGGGCGCTCGCCCGAGCCCAGGCGCTGGGCGCTTCGGGCGAGCGCTGGGTAAACCAAGGCGACCGAACCAGAATTTTAGTTCTGGTTCGGTCCTGGTTCGGTTGTTAGTTGGTTCAATCGAACCAACTAAACCGATATAACCCCAACCCTAACCCTAACCCTAACCCAACACTAACCTGTTGCCGCTCTCGATCCCGATCCCGATCGCGATTTCGTCGCTCGCTGCCGCTGTCGCTGCTCGCGCCTCCTGCGAG